TCAGTATGTTGGCCAATTAATCTCTTTATGTCTCTCTAGTGGCGAACTCCAGCCTCCCAGCTGTGGTAAAACTACAAATCCCATGATGCATCTGTCTCTGGATGTCGTGGCTGTGAGAATCTTGCAATGCCTCATGGGATTTGTAGTTCCACCACAGCTGGTGGGCTGGAGTTTTCCCACCCCTGCCATTGGAAATTGTGTCCCTGACCTTTCCCACAAGACCTCAACCAATGTTGTCCTCTTCTCAGCTTGTGCAGCCCAATTTGTTGAGTCCACATTGCAGATGGTACAAGAGAAACGTCACCAGCACACAAAATTCCTTAAAGGATCATCAATCGTAGATTTATTGGAAACTCATGTTGAATACACAAGCGCTTTCCGGGCCACGCAGGGTCCCTTCATCAGGCACTTGACATGAGTTTCCAATAAATCTATGATTGATGATCCTTTAGGTCCCATTCACACGGGAATCGGCCGGCACGTACAGCTCCGTGCTGCGTGCACAGCCATATCGGGCAGCTCCCGGGAAGGACAGGTGCTGCGTGTGATTAGTACGCAGCCCCCATCCTTCTCTATGGGACAATGCGGCCGTATACCGCCCTACGCTTACCTGCCCTGCACGTCCGTGCGAGTGAGCATACTCGTGCACTGACAGGATGGATCCTGTCTTTCCTATAGAGGACAGGAGCTGCGTACTAATCACATACAGTACCTGTCCTTCCTGTGAGCTGCCTGATACGACCGTGCACGAAGCATGGAGCTGTACGCGTCGGCCGATTCCCGTGTGAATGGGGCCTTAAGGAATTTGGTGTGCTGGTGACGTTTCTCTTATACTATTTGCAACTGGCGGCGCCATCCGCAGTCATTCCAAGCATCCTTCCCCGAATACGGGGATCTCCGGTAAGGAATGCAACAAGCTTTCTTTATCTGATTCACATACAGATGGACCACTGTGTGACCTGTGATTCCATCATTTGGTACCCGCCCTCCCAGCTGGACAGAACTAGGAATTGTGGTCAACATATCTCACCACTGGGGTGCTAAAGAGATGTAAAGATTCCGCCCATTATGCAATTTGACAGCAACCCCAAAAAACAGAGGGTTACATGAACCATAAAAGCTGTGAAGGACAATGAATGGATCGGTATAATGGGAATATTGCAGTTAGCATTACAACATGATGTCAGTGCACATCCCAAAACATTTTGGAATGAACAGACTTTTCTACCACCAAGTCAAATTTAAAAAACTCCTTTTTGCAATTTATGAACCAAATAACGCGCTTAAAAAAGATCTCTGTGAAATAAAATTTTAAAAAAAGATCTCTGTGCAAACAGCTTAATACACAGAAGAAATACATATACTGGACGTGGTTTACTTGACAAAGTGTTGGTATTTTGTCCATCCAGTTCTGAAAACAGTACAGCCAGGCTGGCAAACTTACTTCTTTGCTGCAGTTCAGGTCTTGTCCATCACCAAGGCAGTGAAAAGTACAGCAGCGGACTAATGAGCTCATCTCTCTGTCACTCTGCTCTCTCCTCCTATTAGCATGTTCCTTGATAGCACTGCAGCACAACTGACTGGCTCCTTGTACTGCTTCTACCTCTCCCAGATTTAGCTCTGCTGTACAAGATATTGCAAAATGTTGATACCAAGTCAAATTCAGACCCTTACACTGCTTGTACTAAAAATACATGTAAGGATGTATTACTGAATACAGAGCTACATGACCTTGTGTTTAATATTTGCCCGGAATTCAGCTTTAAGAAAGTAGAAGTAATATAACCCACATCAGCACAAAAATAAAAATGTAAAATATAAATTGCTAATGCCCCGACCAGCATTCCCTGTGGAGGAAGCATTTTCCCGATGAAAAACAAAACATTCTGGTTTTCCGTAACCCAATCACATCAATGGAAGTAGCTTCAGCAACAAAAAACACATTAGGCTAATGACATCACAAAGCTTTAAGAGTTCTGGCTCCTAATTATCTCCAATATTGCCGAGGTTCAGAGGCTCATTGTGCTTCTTATGTGGAGCAATGGGGAAATATCAAATTCCGATCCAAATGTGCAACATTTCAGCCCAACCAATTAGCAATAAGTGCCGGATCATCTAGGCGTGCGTTTCTGGGTCTAAGGTCTACCTACTTTGGAATAATCTAGTGCCGGGTGCGTTTCTGGGTCTAAGGTCTACCTACTTTAGAATAATCAAGTGCCGGGTGCGTTTTTGGGTCTAAGGTCTACCTACTTTGGAATAATCTAGTGCCAGGGTGCGTTTCTCGATCTAAGGTCTACCTACTTTAGAATCATCTGGTGCCGGGGTGCGTTTCTGGGTCTATAGTCTACCTACTTTAGAATCATCTAGTGCCAGGGGGCGTTTCTGGGTCTATGGTCTACCTACTTTAGAATCATCTAGTGCCGGGGGGCGTTTCTGGGTCTATGCTCTACCTACTTTAGAATCATCTAGTGCCGGGGGGCGTTTCTGGGTCTATGCTCTACCTACTTTAGAATCATCTAGTGCCGGGGGGCGTTTCTGGGTCTATGCTCTACCTACTTTAGAATCATCTAGTGCCGGGGGGCGTTTCTGGGTGTATGGTCTATCTACTTTAGAATAATCTAGTGCCAGGGTGCGTTTCTCGATCTAAGGTCTACCTACTTTAGAATCATCTGGTGCCGGGGTGCGTTTCTGGGTCTATAGTCTACCTACTTTAGAATCATCTAGTGCCAGGGGGCGTTTCTGGGTCTATGGTCTACCTACTTTAGAATCATCTAGTGCCGGGGTACGTTTCTGGGTCTATGGTCTACCTACTTTACAATCATCTAGTGCAGGGGTGTGTTTCTGGGTCTATGGTCTACCTACTTTAGAATCATCTAGTGCCGGGGGGGCGTTTCTAGGTCTATGGTCTACCTACTTTAGAATCATCTAGTGCCGGGGTACGTTTCTGGATCTATGGTCTACCTACTTTAGAATCATCTAGTGCAGGGGTACGTTTCACATTTGATTGCAAACGTAGAAATACAATTTAATACAAATATTGACTAACAGTATGCATGGTGAGTGATTTCTATGCCACCTACCAAACACCTGCCACAAGTAATGTGCCACCACTGCAGTTTATCTTATTGAATGTGGCGCGCCATAAGAAAATGAAACAGGAAGTAGAGAAGTCGGGGATAAAACCCCAAAACACATACATATCCATTGCTTTTCTACACGGCACCAGCAGAGTCTCAGTTACATGTTCCATTTGAATGGGCTCGGTGACAACATCCCCCACAATCTGGATCTATTCTGCACATCTCACCTATACGCCTTCTCCCCCACGCTATCCTCCGTAGCCTGGAGCTGCTTATATAGCGTAGTAACAATATACCTGTATGATTCACTAGTTATACTCTGTGGTACAGCTGACGCCATCCCCGTATTAACCCTATTCTCTTATTAAATGCACACTACATGAAACCACGACTCTTCCTATATGGTACGGAAGCACCTTCCTCTTCTCTGTTCTCCTCTCCCCTACACATCATTTTACAGCATTCTGAGGCATCTCTGTGTTTGCTTGAAGCATCATCTGTGTCAGCTGCCAGCATGGCTGTCCTAATTTATCAACAATGCAGGTTAGTGCGAGGGAGAACGTGATAGGAAGAGGCTTTGATAAAGCCCGGCATTCCCCGAGTCCTTCAAAAGCAAAGAGAGCAAAGTTTCAGAGGCACCTACACGCTGTCACCGGAAGACATCTGACAACGGTTAGAAAGCAGCAGAGCTGTCACTTAGGCACCGTAGTCGCTCATTTGTGCATGGGGCAAGTCATTCGGAACATTGTATCGCTGAAGCACAAGGTCCTCTGTGCCTCAAGTCTCAGTTCCTTGTTTTCTAGTAAAAGTGATAAGCTGATTGCTATTTCAGCAGACAAAATGTCTGCCTTGGATGCAGAGACGGTATAAGAAGCCACAGAGCCCTGTTGCTCAACCTGAGCATGGTCTCTCTCTCTCTTATCTTATGACACAACCTTCAACTGCCCTGACCAGATTAACCTAATGGAGTCCAGTTTGCTATTTGTCAGGGAGACGGCTACAGACTGGAAAGAGCAGATGTCAACGATTAATAAAGGGTGTGAGAGGAAGAAGGATGATGCTGTACAAGGATGGTCAGTAAAAGTAAGGCAGGCCCTTCTTGGCCCACTGAGAACATTCTGGGCTTTTAAAAGCCGCACATCAGCTTTCATGGGTGCACGTGACAGGTACACTTCATTATCACAAAATCTATGTGTCATCATTACAACACATCACGCAATGTATTTCCTCTTTATCAGATAGACATATTGCAAAGTCAAACTGACACCAAAATGTGCCACCCAATGAACAATTCTATGACCCGGTAAAATGTCAGCTCTAAGGGCCAGTGGAAAGCTCCAGCCATGCACACTGCACATATATAGCAGACATTGCACGTGTCTCTGTACCACCTGATACTTCGGTCACAGCTCTTCTTGTGTGCAGCAAGCGTCAGCGTTACTACAACCAAATACACCATTGTGACAATGTCCATCCGTGTGTAGTACACCGCTCAGCCCCAACACCTGACAGGTGACAAAAGTCTGCGTGCTGTGCGGAGGAGAATCAACCCTTCAGTGTGTATCATGTCATGTTGTATCAAGGATCTCCTCGTCTGTGTGTCACAAAGTCTCATCAATTCCTATGTCAGCGTCCCAGAGCCCCTCCTGGAATGTCAGATGTCACAGTGCCCCTCCAATGTGCGTGAGAAGTCAGGGGTCCCTGCTTTTCTGTGTCAGGGGTGACAGGGCCTCTTCTCCCATACACAGGCTATGATAGCATTGTCGTCATCTGCATGGTGCAAGTGACAATTCCCACCTCTCTGATACATGACAGCATACCCCCTCAGCTCTCATTTATATCTCAGCATCCCCTCAGTGTCCCTGCTTATGTCTGTGTGACCTGCACTGCTAAGCGCCATGTCACTGCACAGTCTCCATTCACCTGTATGTCACATTTCACAGTGTCCCCTCACCTGTCACTGTGTTCCCTCACCTGTATGACACATGTCACAGTGTCCCCTCACCTGTATGTCACAGCCTCCACTCATCTGTATGTCACAGTGTCCCCTCCTGTATCTTCCATCCCTGTGTGTGACATGACAGAGGTGACAGCCCCTCACCTGTAGGACAGTGTCATGTCCCTGCACCCTGTCACCTGTATGAGACATGTCACTGTACCCCTCCCCCCACCTGTATGAAACATGCCACTGTGCCTCCTCACCTGTATGAACCATGTCACTGCATCCTCTTTACTTGAATGTCACTGTGTCCCCTCCCCTGTATGAAACATGCCACTGTGTCCCCTCCTCACCTGTATGAACTAGGTCACTGCGTCCTCCTTTTCTGAATGTCACTGTATCCGCCCACCTGTATGAACCAGGTCACTGCGTCTTCCTTATCTTAATGTCTGTGTCCCCTCCCCTGTACGAAACGTGTCAATGTGCCCCCTCATCTGTATGAAACATGTCACTGTATCCTCCTTACCTGAATGTCACTGCACCCCCTCACCTGTATGAACCATGTCACTGTATCCTCCTCATCTGAATGTCACTGCACCCCCTCACCTGTATGAACCAGATCACTGTACCCCCCTCACCTGTATGAACCATGTCACTGTATCCTCCTCATCTGAATTTCACTGCACCCCCTCACCTGTATGAACCATGTCACTGTATCCTCCTCATCTGAATTTCACTGCACCCCCTCACCTGTATGAACCAGATCACTGCACCCCCTCACCTGTATGAACCAGATCACTGCACCCCTTCACCTGTATGAAACATGTCACCGTATCCCTTCACCTGTATTAACAGAGATTGGACGATATTCCCCTTCACCCACAACAGTATGCCATCTTGTAGCTGATAAATACTTGTGTGATCACTGATTGCACAATGTCATGTATCAGTGTTCCCTCACCTGTATGTTCCGTTACAGTGCCTCTCAATCCCTATGACATGTCTTGTTGTCTACACACACAGTTCACCCCTCGCCTGTATGCTGCTTGTCAGCTGTACATTATACTGCCTCCCTTACCTGTATGTCACACCACACTGCCCCTCCTCCCCGTATGTCATATTACAGTGTTGCCTCACCTGTATATGACAGCTGCTCCTCACCTGGGATATATGGGTGAGGGGACACTGAATATAACAATGTAATGTTCCCCTCACCTGTATACCATACTGTCCCCTCAAGTGTATGTCACAGTGTTCCCCACCTATATGTCACATGTCAGTGTCCCCTCACCAGTATATGACAGTATCCCTCACCTGTATGTCAGCTGCCACAGTGTCTCCTCATCTGTATGGCACATGTCACTGTGTCCCCTAACCTGTATTTCACATATCACAGTGTCCCCTCACCTGTATTTCACATATCACAGTGTCCCCTAACCCGTATGTCACATATCACAGTGTCTCCACACCTGTATGCCACATGTCACAGTCTATATTCAAGCTTGGAAGCTTTTTGGTGTAGCAGCTTTTAACCTATTATATATATTTTCCTAAAGCGCAGATTATTACAATTTTTACTATATTCACATGTATGTCACATATCACAGTGTCCCTCACCTGTATGTCACATGTCACAGTGTCCCTCACCTGTATGTCACATATCACAGTGTCCCTCACCTGTATGTCACATGTCACAGTGTCCCTCACCTCTATGTCACATGTCACAGTGTCCCCTCACATATATGTCACATTTCACAGTGTCCCCTCACATGTATGTCACATGTCACAGTGTCCCCTCACCTGTATGTCACATGTCACTGTGTCCCCTCACCTGTATGTCACATGTCATTGTCCCCTCACCTGTATGTCACATTTCACAGTGTCCCCTCAACTGTATGTGACATGTCACTGTGTACCCTCACCTGTATGTGACATGTCACTGTGTCCCCTCACCTGTATGTCGCATGTAATTGTGTCTCCTCACCTGTATGTCACATGTCACAGTGTTCCCTCACCTGTATGTCACAGTCTCCATTCATCTGTATGTCACAGTCTCCAGTCACCTGTATGTCCCAATGTCCCCTCCTGTATCTCCCATCCCCGTGTGTGACATGACAGAGGTGCCAGTCCCTCACCTGTAGGACACCTGTTTCCGGAAGGTCAGGTTCCGAAGCTTCTCCTCCACAGACTCCTCCCTGTCCCGGGTGTGCCCGGTGTCCTGGGCAGCGGGCTCCCCTCCTCCGGTGTCCTGTCCTCCCTCGGCTCCCCGGCAGCCGCTCTGAGTTCCGTCCAGCGGCGGGTTCATGTCTGTGCCGGGGCTGAGCGGG